TCTATGAAGTATGAACAGTGACAGATTTGAATCATACTTATAATGATAGAGTAACTCTTTAGCTACAATTTGAGGTATTATACATGCATATCCACAGAGTTTTAGAAAAAGTATTTATGAGATGGCTTTCTTAGGAGAGTTCCCACTGTGCGGCGTGAAGTAATGCTTCGCTCTATTGAGCACACCGAGTTTTTTGGATGCCAGCTTCACCTTATCTTCGAGGTGGCTACGGAACTGTACGTCACTACAGATGTCGACACCAAGGATCCCAATGCTTTTAGAGATGTTAAGAGACGTGCCTTGGAACTGTGGGGCCACAGCAAATGGGGTTTTCTTAGCGGTGAACGCGCAAGCTTGTGTCTTAGAGGGGTTAAATTGGACCAAGTAAATTCAGATAGATTTATTTATATGTATACAAAAGCTGAATTACTGACTGACATATCAATAGACAAAACATTGCGATAAGTTTAAAGGGTTTGTTTAACACTAAGTACCTAACAGCTGAGAGTGACGCAAGATTTTTCAGTGAAGTAACACTTCGTTACTTGAAAAGTTTATAAATAACTTTCTAAGTACAGAACTACTTAATTCAAATATAAAGTAAATTACGATTATCGTAGAACTATTATTTCGAGATTAGTCTATATTCTTCACAGATTAAATAATTAAAAAAATATTGTTTTTAATTATAATAAGAATTGCTGCATAACATAATATTATTTAAAAACATCACCTCGTTTTCTCTACTAACTTCATGGAGGACCCGGCAAAATATAGGTTAGAAAATAGTAAGTAAGTAAGTAGTATTGATTTTGTATCACAAAAAATAGCAAATTCAAAATCAATATGAGACCGACACGAGTATAAACCCTCTAAATTGAAAAAACAATAATCAAAATCAGTTAAATACGAAGATATCGCATAACATACATAAAAAATAACATGCAAGTGATTGACTAATAATTTAAGATTCTATTTCACAAAAAAAAAAACAGACTTTAACTAAGGCAAAACCAGTTATTTAGATTTAAAAACTAAACTTCTGAACCGATGTTGATAAAATTTCTATGGGACCAATCGGTAATTATATACCTTTTTAGATAAATAAGAACTTTCCAAATCAGTTTACAACTGACAGAGTTATGAGATAGCAAACATAAAAAAATACAACCGAAATGAGAACCTCCTTTTTAAAGTCGGTGAAAGTTTCTTAAAAAATAACCTTAAACTAAGATTAGGAAACTAAACGTGCCTAATAAAACGTATGGGAGTACGATGTACGACTCATGATGAGATAAACATGCCTAGGTGTGACAGACACCGCATTCAGAACTGCGTGATAATATTACATGTCTGTGATTAGAAACAAAATACGTATGCGCTAATCTATGCTGTCTAATCGAAAGATTAGAAAAGCAACCTCGACACAATGAATTGCAGATATAATAATAAACGGTCCATCCATTCGTAAATTATGACGATATAAACAAATACACATATAGAAAACAGGTTTAAACTTATAATCGACTACTATAATTTACATATTAATAGCTTTATGAAAAAAAAAAGTATAGCTACGTAGTATGTAATATGTATAGTATGCAGTGTTTACACTCTCTCTTGAAGTTAAATTGGAATTTGTAATGAATTTACAAAATGGACTGAAATACTCTTCTATATTGACTACATATAACCGCGAAAAAAACATGACGGTTTTATAATTTACTAGATATTTTCTGCGTCTGCGTAAAGTTCTATCTCATGTATTAAACTAGGCTATATCCTTATACCAAATATCAATCAAATTTGTTTGAGCTTGATTGTGTAACAAACATTCAGACACCTTTACAAACTTTCACATATACTATAGTAAGAAAATAGTAGACATAAAGAAAATTATCATTATCAAGAAAATAATAAAATTGTCTGATGTTATCTATCTATCTATCATTTAAGAGATTAGTGCGTACAAACAAACAAGCATACTCTTCCTATTTACTGTATGAGTTTAGATTAAATATAATAATAGTAAATCCAGTAACATTACTGTCGTAAATTATAATTAGTTTAGAAAGGATCGTGTACGAACGTTCATGCGTTTCGTAAACAATCACGGTATTGTCATTTTTGACATTTGTTTATGATATCGATCGTCTCACGCTTTGCTTTTGTGTCGAGTCATTCTTTGAAAAATAAAGTATTCACATTAAGTACTCGTCTTTAAATACTAAATTGAAATCCAAGTGTGGGACCCAAGAAAATACGTAACAATTACAGTTCAGTTAAAATTAAAATCCTAAAAGTAATGTTAAAAATAAAAATTATTCTCTCTTTCGTTTGTTAAAAATAAACAATATTAAAATTATCAATCATTAATCATGGTTCAAATATGCCGACATTACAACCTTCAAGGGTTTTTCTCTGAAAAGGTTTGCGTCGTTCACTCCATTAATTATTTTACAGTCAAACGCCTCAAGTATTATAATTTTAAAAGGTCAGTTTTGGCTCACTATTCCAAACACGAAGTCCTACATGACAGATTCAACATCACGACTTTGAAATGTTTAATTATAAACGTCAACAAAATTTTGTTTAGGGATTTCATATTTGGAAAAGAGTAGCATAATAACGTTAAATGACCCGCTCTAAATGCGTTACGCAACGTTTAGGACGACTTTAGTAGGAACCTTTGAGGGTTTGTGAATATACATGAAGTAAAGGAAATGACAATAAGCTTTTTAGACATGCGATTCATTTTATTATTCTAAATAATTAAGATGTCAAAAGTTTCGTAAGTACACATTATATTTTAATGTTATACGAGTACTAGTTATTACATTCACTCAGGCTCGTTTAAGTTGATTAAGGGTCCCGAAAGGTTCCGAAACTAGTCGAGCATTCTCGACCTAATTAAATCGGTAGTTATTACATTTAAATTAAGATTGTGTTCCATAAAAAAAATCAATATTAACTGTGGCAAAACCAAATATTTTGATTTAAAAACTATCCACTGGACCTGAAATATTGCTAGCAATGGGACAATTGGATCCCATTGCTAACAATTTTTTCCCCGCCAGAATATAGTGTCACGCTCATGGTATTCCTTATGGATTGACATACCCGAGAATGAAGTATTACGCCTCTAAACACAATATCGAACCGTACTGGTAATGGAATTCTCACAAAAATTATAATTGTGAAAGTGAGCTTGTTTGTACTTTACAGCACCTGAACAGCTTAACCAATCACTATGAAACTTGGCATACACGTATTATAAAGAATGGAAAAGGATATTACTACTTTTTATCCCGGTTCAGCACACACATTCCGGTCACGCAGGCGAAGTCGCAGGTAAAAGCTAGTATAATTATATACAGTTTTAAATAGATATAATTACTGTAAGTTACAAAAAAAAATTATCTATTTGTAATATAAAGCGTTAAAAGCAGCAAAGACAGAAGAAACTAAAAGATATAGACAAATAAAACATTAGATAAATTGCACCTGTTTGAATCAATTTGAAAAGAAAATATGTTGGTATTATGATAACAAAAATTATGATTTAAACTAATTTATAAAAACAATTTATACAAATGCATTAGATTTTAAAAGCCACTTAAACTGAATCGAACAATCTGTGTTTGTGCTGAAAATAAAAATTTTTGGTATATGCATTGTTTTAATTTGAACCGATGAATAAATATAGAAATTATGACTAATCATAATATGACTTTCATAGTTTCATAATATTATTATGAAACTATGGAAATCCTATCTTGTTTTATTTTATTTTTTTAGCATCTTATTCATGAATCTTAATGTTTTTATCTAATTATCTATTTTGTCTTTTTGGATTGCTTTCTTTATTTAAATAAAACACATACGTGGCTTATCCAGATTTGTAATAGATTTTAATTATCTAAACGAATATATTTAAACAATTTAAAAAAAATATTTATAAAAAAAATAACACATAATATCCTGTATTTAAATATATATAAAATAAATTTAGATAGATGATATAGATAGAAGGCGAATATATAATTCACTCACGTCAATATATTAAATATTGGGTTTTGTAAAATCTATCACCAGTAGCAAAATAGTTATGGCGGAGAGCCAAGTATGCTAAATACCGACACTTAGAAAAATAAAGCGCAAATGATTTATATTGTTCGAGATGTAGCTCATATGGCTTATTAATCTCTAATATTTTTTCATCTATCCCAATAATGAAGCACCGAGTTCATGATTTACTGTTCATCCCAAAGATTGACTGGTAGAGAATGCTACTGGCATTTGGTTCGCCTTTTGTACCATATTTCTTTTGGTCAATAAAGTTATTTAAATCAAAATAAATAAATAATTTATATTTGGAACATCGTTTCCATAATGTGTAAAATGGAGTTTAACTTAATTTTGAAGTTAGTTACATATTTTCTCTTATAGTTAGACATTAGTCAACAATTATTAAAAAAAAAAAAAAAACTATTGCAGATATATCAATTTATGAATAGAAGTTAATTTCATCGAAATATATCATATCGTTTTTGCTCTAACAATTTTATTTATAAGGCTGGCATGTGGAAGATTTACAAACTTACTCCATGTAGGGATTGTAGCCGTGACTCATATGTATATTTGTTTATAATAAAAAGAAAAAAGCTATTAATAGAACAAATAATTTAACAGTATGTAGAGATTTTAGGGATTTTAAATCTCTCAATTGAAGCATTCAAAATAATTAAACACCATGGATAGATTTGGGTACATACCCAGGAAATCAAATTAAAAGTTTAAGTGCTGCACTCTATATTATAAGCAACAGTATTTTGACTTTTACTCATGCATGGCATGAAATATAGATGTCGCTAACTAACTTGTTTTCGTAACACACGAGATGGCGTTGAATAGCAACAATTCATTTTGAACTAAATGTAGTTTCACACCTGCTTATATCAATGAAAATAATAATGTTTTCTAATTTTGTAACTACTTACATGATTTGAATTGTTGAACCATGGAAGCGGTGTCGGCCGCATGGTGGTACTCGTACAATGAGCGGCCTACTAGCTCGTCTGGCTCGTATCCAAGAGCATTCTTCAATCTGCAACAATGTAATTGATAGATGTAAACATTGTATGTATACATTCCATTAAACAATGTATCGATAAGTGTAATACAATGTCTTATAGAAATAACAACAGCAAGAAAACTTCTAGAAATTCAATCCTAAAAATAACAGAATTCATTTGTAATTTTTTATACAATTTTCACTGTATATATTATAATTTTCAATTATAAATTTACTACTAATACGGAATATATAGTACTTGTAACTCAGATTTGTCTGTATTAATTAGAATAAAAAGGATTATATTCTCAGTTTATCTCTATGTGTACAAAATTTAATTTAGATTGGTATGAAAGATATATAGAATAGTAAATATGAAATCACAGATTAAAGATTATAATATATTAAGGGTGAATAAGTTGAACATTGAACCATCAAACTTACAAAGAGTTTTAGTTTTTTTTTTTTTTTATTTAAAAATATTAGTAACATTTTAAGGCTTTGATTTAAAATGTTAATAAATTCCAATTTCAAATTTTGAATGGCACCAAACAATCATCAAAATGGTTTCATACATTCAGTAAATAGCTAGATCATAATTCAGTTTAGGTCTTTTATATATATTTATTGTTATTTTTATTTTTATTTTTTATATAGATTTTCAAACCAGAAAAAATGTACTGTATTTTATATATTGAAAATGATTGTCGTGAGTCAGGTGAACATTGGACATTGGACTTAAAGATAACAGTGAGTGACTACTGATTTTAATGTTTATTTATACTTTATATAATACATTCGTCTATCTACCTGTTTGAATATATGATAACAAATTATCAGAAGGATGAGATTTATTATTATTATAGTTTTTTTATTTTTTTTTAATTAAACAAATTTTTATATTTAATAGAATTTATTTATTTATTTCTCGCAACAAACAATGAAGAAATTTTCTACCTATAACAATCAGAACATTTTAACAATATTGTTTGTGGGAGCTAGTGCTAATTTAAATTGAAAATATAAACAATGTAGTTAAACGAGAGGTGAATACTCCGAATTATTTTTTTTAATCTTATTAATTACTTGAATATGAAACTGCTAATTAAATCATAAAAAATTTATTCCTAAATAACACTTAAATAAAAAAAAAAAATGTTTAAGAAGTTTTTTTCTATACTAATATTACAAATGTGAATTTAATAGAAAGTTTATTGGATATCCAAAGGTCACTTTCAATGTGACCTACAGTCCTATGTTTAGGTTATGTTTACCGGTACCTACACGGGTAACCTTGAATGACCTAGCATCTTGCGCGGCTATCCACCTCATACAATATCCCTATAGCGGAAACAGTGAAATAGGCTACGGCTAATTACATTAAACATAATCATAATACGTCGCATAAAACCTATTTACGAAAATACTTACAAAATTTAAAAACCCCGCCATTTCCGGAATACAAGTTGTGAAAACACCGAAATCACTAGACTTTCACCCACAAACACAATCTATTTCAACACATAAACTCACAAAACACACCACATAACACTGAAACTATATTAAAAATTATTATTCTTTTTCTCGGCAAACTGTATACAAAATCACCGCGAAATAATAACGTGTAACCTACAAAACACGTTTGAAGGTGATATTTTTGTTGATATTACACTATCGCACTATGTGGATCGACAATGTTACTGGCGCTAAAATAAAACGTCGTTCCTTGGATTTGGTTGGGTAATACGTTCAAATGTGTAGTTATAGCGACATCTATTGGTAATTATAAACAACATAAATTTCCCAGAAATATAAATAAATTGTAACAAAATGAATAAAAATTTAACACACTTGTTTCTGTTCAGTATGAAAATAACAAAATACATTTGATGAGTAACAGTGAATTGTGTTTAAATAAGACACATAATTCTGAATTTAGTCCAAATATGATGAAACCAAAAAGATAGTCGGTTATCGTATTAATTTTCAATATATTAATGCAAAAACGTTATCTCTACGTAACAGAAAAGTTAGAAAATATTTCAGCAACTATTTTATAAACGTCAGTTGGGGTGTATTGGTGGTTAACCATGGTAATATAACTTAGTAATAGCATTCTTCCAGTCAGATCTTTGATATTAAGCAACTTTAAATTGAAAATGGTCTCTTGTATTTTGTATATTTTACCTACATGATACTTTCAATTCTGAATCGATTTGTTTGTAATGAGTAAAGTCTATTTCCGAATTGTAATTTCATTATATTGGATTGCGTTCATAAGATTTCATTATTAATGTATTAATTATTTTTTTTATGTATTTATGGTAAAATATAAAATATTGTGCTCTGCATAAAAACTTTCAATACCAATCAAATCATCAACTAAGGACGAGATATTTTATAGTATATTAGCTTTTGCCGGTCTCACTTTCACTCGTCCGCGTAACCGGAATATATATTCACTATCCGAGATAAAAAAAAAAGTAGCCTGTTTTTCTCTATTCCATATAGTGCGTATATACCAAGTTTATAGTAATTGGTTGAATCATTAAGGCACTACAAGGTAACAAACAAACTCACTTTCACATTTATAATATTAATAAGGTTTTACAATAAAAACATTTAAATTTAGAAGGCAAAATACCTTACAAAAAGAATTTTGCTATACAAAAAGCCTTTTTTGCTAAGCAGAGAAAGCGCGGTTTCAATCGTTAGAAAATTAAAACGGTTGTCACGTTTTGCTTCCGTTTTACAACCCCTTATGCAAAAATGTGTCAAAATTGTTTCAAAAATTTAATCATAAAACAATAAAGACATACTGTGAGGATTCACTTTTTGGAAGTAACTACACATTATTCGTTTTAGTTACCTGGTAGACAGACAGATACAAAATATATTTGTCTCTTTAGCATACGCATAAATGTAAATTAATATAGCTACATAGAGCTTATCAAATTTACAAAACGGCTAATAGATCAGTGTGAAATATTACTCAGAAAAAAAAATTATTAACTTTTAACTAAAGGTGGCAAACAAGCATACAGCCTGTCTGATGGGAAACAAACACTGTAGCCTATTAACTGTTGGTGAGTGAATTATTCACAAATTGTAATCATAGCCAAAACCATGCATTGTTTGTGTGATGAAAAATAAAACAGGAAAAATTTTGTCAATAACCCCGCCTGTGCTACAAGTACGCACCGGTGGGGTACCAATGATGGATGATAGGTGAGGTTGAGAGCAAACGCGTTTCTTAAATAATTGGACCTAGTTTTATGCAGAAAACAGCCATGTTATTTAGGAACTCCATAAGAGATGTTTGTTTTATCATAACTAGTTTCAAATGCTCCAATTAATGTTGGTATACTTACGCATCATCAGTGTAAGTAAACTTCATATCCAGACTGTGCTTGGAGAGGAATGTTTTGCTATCTAATATGGTCTCGATATTGGATGGATGAGGGATGGGTCTCCCCACAGCGATGAGGGAACCGTTCTTCATTGGCTTCTTTTCTACGCCCTCTTTCCTATCCTCCTTTTCTTGATTATTGTTGTGTTCTTGAGGCTTATCGTCTTCCGAAGTCAACATGTGCCCTGTGATGTGAATGACCTGAAATTATATATAAGTAATATTTATTTCACAGTGTCATGGCTGGATGGAATTTAATTATGTCTATGATATGGTATAATTTAAGAAACTTGCACTTTGTACAGGCGATCGGTTTCGAAACTTTATCCTCAAGCGTATTTATATGTAATATTTAATTCTAAAATAAAATATTCATTTTAAATTTTATACATAGTGTATTTAATAAACAAACCTACCAGAATATACAGAATATACGTATAAGATCTATCAGGTCTTAATAATGCAAAAAATAAACAAAGAGTAAAAATAAAAACTTTTTATGTGGGTTACTTTTAAATTACCAATTTTGAATACGATATTCTAAGACGGTTTATTAAATATGCTATCTATAAAAAATTGCAGTTAAGTATATATTGCTTATTGGGTCAAAAGGATTTTAATAATATTTTACCCATATATGATTTTCATATTTTAGTTCAGATGAAATTAAAAATAAATATACAAACAGAACCGATTGATCTCGTTCTATTGGTCCTATGTGTGTACATTTTTAAGTATTAGAATGTAGTTCATTTATTTTATTGTTTAGTTCTCTATCGAATGTACCTCTATGGCCAGTAAATATTTTTTTCCTTCTTTCTATATTTTGTACTGTCTTTCTTGGCGAGGGAAAAATAAAGATTGTATTAATTCATTTCCATTCCATCTAGACGAACAGAAAATAATGGGTTCCGTACACGCGAAGTCATGGGCATTTAGCCACTATTAACATACTAATGGAGTTACATTACTATATACTCTACTATATATTAATAACTTATTCAGATATTAATTCCCTCAAGAAAACAATAACAATTTATATGTCATCAAATAAAATGGTTGACTAATAAATTTAACATGAAAAGGAAATTACAAAATTCCTTAACATTTGATTTGTGTGACACCCAAATGGGTTTTTAATGGGTTTCCTTGTTATTTTCCTGTATAAGCTTCATTTATAAATTGATGATGGGCTTTGCAGCATAAATGTAGTATATATTATAAACTTATGGTTTTACCACAAAAATAACTTTGAAAAGGACTTAGTAAAAAAAAAAAAAACTAAGTATCCAAACGTTATTTATAGTCTAATAATGTTTATTACAATAAACTTGATGACTTTAAATACCTTTTTTATTTTTTTATTACACTTAAAATGGTAAACAAGCTGACAGCCCAAGTAGTAAATGGAGCTTAACCTTACATTCGTCATAAACCCTACCATAAACGTCCAAAGAAAGGATATTTTAACATTTTTAATATTTTTATACGGTATGTATTATGTGTTTTCACAACAAATTTGTGTTTCGTTCAACTCTGAAATTTCAGATAATATTTCGTGGTAGATCCTCTGATGTCATTTTACTAGATTTTACTGTAAAGGAATTCTTCTAAGGAATAATTAGGGTTGATATTATATTTACATAATATCAGTTTGACTTTGACTCAATTCGACAGAACAATTGTCAACAATTGTTTTGTCGAATTTACCCGTAGTGAATCTCAATAAATCATATTAAAGCGGCATGTCACCTGCACAATGCTTAAAGGAAGGGAATTATATCCATAGTTCTCAGAAACGGCACGCAAAATGAGTGCCATAAAGGTTGTAGCGTCTACCGTGATGTCTATGTGCTGTTTTTGTCCATAGGCAATGGATACCATTTACCTTCATGAGGGCTAACAGTTCCAATATTTTTTTTTTATTTATGCTCATTTTTATACAAGGGGCACAAGACGTTGTGACGTAAAGCGCCATACGCCCCCTGACGGAGACTTCCATAGTCGAAACAATTGTGGGAAATGACAAAACATAGTGTGTTTGTTAATTTCCTATTATACATGTCTGTCTATAACAGCTTTAATATTTTTTTTTTTTTTATAATACGTCCTTAAATAGAAAAATCTTTTAGAGTTTTTTCCTAACTACATTGTACTATCTTTTTATATATAACTGTATTATTAATAATGAAAAGAAGTCTCGTGTGGTCGCGGCATAGAATAGGCCACCCATCCCTTTCCCGTGGATGTTGTAAGAGGTGACTAGGACATAGCGAGGGATGGGCAGCAGCGTACCTCTTAAAACATCTCCAAAATTTTAAAGCGGTTGCCAATCCGCCTGCCAAGCGTGGCAACTACTAACAAACCTCCCTCTAGGGGGAGACTTATATTCAGCAGTAGATAGTTAAGGGCTGATATGATGATATGATAAATTATAAAAAGTATATTTATTTATAGTACTAATAAACACAAAGATCAGAACATAATGGGTAATTCATTATGAAACTCACTCAACGCTGTGACGTGTTAATTGGCTTTATTATACTTCGTATATTAACCTGGTTTTTCTAAGAATATTGAGCACATAGTTATGTGTATATATATAGGCATTAAATGTTATAATACGATATCGAGGAATATTTTAGATCTATTTTTGAATAAATTTAAAACTATTATTAAAAACCACTTATTGAACAAAGCCTATTACACTCTAAAATATTACTTGAATAACAAGCGTGCATGGTGTTAGTCGATCATGTATGAGCTTTTTAATGACCATGTTATTTAAGAGATAGTCATCACTTAAATAATATATGTGTTCTTATAATAAATGTATATGTTTTTTTTGATGGGTGAAAATGGTAAGGTAACCCCGCCTGCTCTAATGGGATACGCTGGCGGAGCACCAGTGAAGGGTGATAGATGAGAATGAAAACAGGCCAGTTAGCACAACATGATGAATTCATCGGGAATTAACCATGATAGTTTCCAGGGAGAACCGCGAGGAGGTCGACCTGGTTGGGTATATTGCTAGCAATGGGATTCTCAGTCTCCATTATATGTATATGTTAACAGAGATTTAAAAATGTAATTGTTGAGTTTTTTTGCGAGCTTCTCTCAACAGATAACTTTCTGAATCCTGCAGTAGAGTTAAAAAATTACGATTTAAAAGTGCTTGTAAACAAGTATATTTGAATAATGATTGGAATTTGGTAATACGCACATTCTTTTTTTTTTAATGATTTTTCTGAATATTATTTTTTTTTAATTCAGGTACCGCGTAACATAGAATTAAAAAAAAATACACTCGAATTTAATATTCCTTGAGTTGGGTTGTAAATAAGTAAGCATATATTACTTACAAGTCATTGATATATTTTATATTATTATTTAAGATCGGCGCAATACGCCTTCCTGTTCCACTGATCCCTATCAGCCGTCATACCTGAGTCCACTCTTATTTAATGCTTATCATCAGTTTACACATCCGTATGGTCGCGGCAAAGACGAAGGTCTTAAACCAGTGCGTGTTGCCAGTGATAACTTATGGAACCGAAACGTGGTCCTACACGATTGCCCGTATGCAAAAGCTACAAGTTACTCAGCGGGCTATGGAGAGGGCTATGCTCGGAGTCTCTTTGCGTGATAGAATTCTATACGAGGATAATCGCAAAAGGACCAAAATAACCGATATAGCCCGAAGGATAAGCAAGCTGAAGTGGCCATGGGCACATGGTCACATAGCTCGAAGGACCGACAACCGATGGGGAAGAAAGGTTCTTGAGTGGCGATCGCGTACGGGCAAACGCAGTATATGGAGTGACGACCTGAAATGTATTGCAGCAGGGGGTCGGTGGATGCAGGTGGCTCAGTACCGTTCTTTATGGCAATCTATGGGGGAGGTTTATGTCCAGCAGTGGACGGATAATGGCTGAAATGAATAAATGAATGGTCGCGGCACAGAATGCGCCATCCCTTTCTTTCCCGTAGGTATCGTAAGAAGCGACTAAGGGAACTTAAGTGTCAAGCGTTAGGCAGCAGGGTCCCACTCAAAACATCAACAAACTCTAACTGCGGTTGCCAATTCGCTTGCCTAGCGTGCCAATTTGTGGCATAACTTTCCAATTGATGGAGAGGCCTATATTTAGCAGTAGACAGAGAATCGCGGAAGCTGATGATGATAATACATAAAAAGTGAAACGAACCTTATAAGAAGCTGATTTCAAATGCACATTCCTTCCTTTGCTCGTAAGTGTGCACTTCAGACGCAGCAACAAATCACGTCGACCGGTGCCATTCGAACGGAGCGCTTCTCGAATCTCGTCGTGGTCGCACGGGTGGCTGAACTCGAACACGCTTTGGCCCATTATCTCCATCTGCAATAAAAAAAAGTGATCATCATCATTCTCATCATTACTCGTCAAGATGGGCCAAGTAACATAACTTCATACTCACCTATCGAAAAACGTAATTATAAAAAATTTGTGAATGTAAAAATGCAACTAATATGGATCTCAAAATTCCATATATGCCATTTTTTCTTTAATAATATAATGCATTTAAAGTTATACCTACCATAAAGCAAACTGGTCAGGGAATTCTGTATAGAGTTGTTTCGAGATTTCTTTGTCGTGCCACAGACATATTATGCTGTACCCCTAATCGCCTTTTGTGACAACTTGGACAAGGAGTGATGATACATTGTATGAGTATTCTAACTACGTCACAATAACTAAACGAAAGAAAGAATAAATAAAAAAACTTATGATTATTATTAGTAGTAGTATTCAGTATATATTCAGAGATGTTTTCTCCCACGAACACTCAGGTTATGGAATGAGCTTCGTGTCGAGGTTTTCCCAAGGAACTACAGCATAACCGCTTACCATCAGGTGGGCCGTATGCTTGTTTGCCACCTCAGTGGTATAAAATAATAGTAATTCTGTCATGATGGATAATAAAACATTTAAATTGTTATTTTTTATATTCATTAAGGTGTTTTTTTATATCATAATTACGTAATTTTTATATTTATTATAAAAAGATTGTGTTTCAAAAACAAAACAAGTTCAATTATGGGAACAACAGCTATTTTGACTTCAAAACTAAATTACTGTACTGATTTTAATAAAATTTCATCAACCCAACCAAACCAAAAAGAATTAAATTGGTTTAGAACTAGGGAGCTATGAAGTAACATAAAAAAAAAAAAACACAACGGAATTGAGAAGTTTCTTCTTTTTAAAGTCTGTTGAAAGTAAAGTGAATAAGTGTGTATATTATATTTATATTGTTTTATTAATGTGTTAATTGTCACATATTTTTCACCACATCTGCCCTTCATACGTTTTTTTGTTTTTACCCAATGGTTAGCTGGTAGAGAATGCCATATGGCATTAGGCTCGCCATTTGTACAGTTTTAATGTGCAATAAAAAATAAATAAACAAATATCGATGATAAATTTCGGAAGAGTTTTCTTTTATACAAAACGTCATTTCACTTCAGATGTGACGTCATGCCACGGGGCAGACCGGTTGACATGTGACAATATTATATGTCAATTCAAATTGTACTCTAAAATTAAAGCGTTAAAAGTTATATTAGTAGTAATAAAAATGCGGCCTAACAATATGTGTAAGAGCTGAGCATGCGTAACACGTGACCGGCATACGCGACTATGCAATAAAGGCTCTGTTCTAAAGAATATCGCATTATATGTTTTTCCCTAAGGTTGACCAGGAGAGAATCGTATTTAGTATAAATACTGTATTTTCGTCCATATACTTTGAGTAGCCAACTAATTTCTTAATAAATAAATTAATACATATCGTCGTAGTCGTAGAATACTGACGGATCTATATATGTAACATTTGTCAGATCCGTCAGTATTCTACGACTATGATGTCTAGAAGAAGAGAAATTATGTACATACTAAAAAAGTAAAAACCGTGTAATTTCTATTCAAATCTTTAGTATTATTATAAACGTGAAAGTGAGTTTATTTGTTTGTCTGTTACCTCTAAGCACTTGAACGGCTCAATCAATTATCATGAAATTTGACAAACACGTGCTATTCAAAATAGTGATAGACAAATGATATCTTTTATCGCGGTACAAACCGCGATAAAAAATACATCCCGGTATACAAAAACATATCCCGGTCAGGGGGACTATATCGCGGGTAAAGATGAGTGTAATAATAAGTTGGTTCTTTTTATGCAATTTAAAAGTTTCACCTAGCAAATAAATCACTTTCTTCGCGACCCAAACAGTCCGTTTTATCTAGATTAAAATCTGAATATAAGATAAGTTACATCAGTGTCGATATGGCAGAATAATCACGTGGACTTTATACTACCTAACCAAAAAACCTAACCTAACCTAACTGCAAATTTAATTTAAGGATAATACCTTACAATAATACTAAAAATAGAATTGTAAATTATGTTTTCGTATTGCGGTCGCAGAGAACTTAAATGCTTTATTAACGGTTTTAATACGCTGTTTTCTGAATTATTTACTGTAAGTAATATATTATACATATATACATATATATATATATATATATATATATATATATATATATATATATATATATATATATATATATATATATATATATATATATATATATATATAATCACATACAATAAGTATTTAATTTATCAATATTTTACTCACTAAGGGCAATAGAAAAAATTACCTATAGTCCGGGAATTCTAAGTTATAATACTACCTGAAAACCTTTGATGTAATAAAATTCATGTCGATATTATCAAAAAATCGTATCCTTTTCAGAGAATCTAGGTAAATTATGCATACAGATACCTGTTTCCTTTATTTTTATTTTTAATACATTAACTTATGTCAATTATAATTAATTATTTATTAATTAGTGGTAGTAATAAGAGTTCCTTTATAATAAAATAATAAATCAAATTACAGTCAATCAAAGATAAAAATGAACATGATCTAAATATGAAAAAAACAATAATATTTTGTAAAAAAATATTTATTAAAAATAGGGTGAATCTATCTACCACTTAAGTAGTAAGCAGGTAATTGTCATATAATGTGTTGCCAGTAACAACAGACTAAAATAGAAACGCTCTAACGACATTTAAGTATATTTAATCTTATAATATCGAATCTCATTATTTTCCACACAGTGATAGATAAATAATATAATTCAAAGTTTATCTCGTCTTATCCTTCGTCTTTGCTCGGAAAAAACCTTCACTCTAATTTCGTTTTGTTGATTGCCACGACATAAGTGTTTATAGATAGGTATGTACCTGTCAAAAGTATTTGATAAAATGGATCAAGAGTGTAACGGATTTAAATTTGTAGGGTACCGTGCATATTTTATAATTATCGTCGTATTATTTACTAATACCATAGAAACAGGCGACCAGAACTATTGTTGTGGTAGCTGGTTGTATCTCAGATCACTATTTGCGTCATACATTTGAATGCATTCATTGAATCGGTAGATACAAGATCTGCTACAAGGGGCACAAGAAAATTGTTCGCGTTAAACGAAAGTGCTACAAATCAATCTATATTTCTGTATCTAAGTACACTTCCATGGCTAAACGCCCAAAAACGCTTAATATGGACAAATTTTTACAGGTATCACAGAAAATATTGTAATTAACCAAATACTTTGAAACCATAAATTTAATTAATTGGTTTTAATATACATCCTCATTATGTAGATGTTAAATTTATTAACCTATGTTAAAAATGTCAGATAGGAGGTTGTTGGTTAACCGTCGATTTGCTCTTCCCGAGAACAATCTGCCATAAATTAAAATTTTATCCCGACGATGGATGGATGAATCGCACTTCCCAAACGTGCGTTTTTTTTTACATTTCCTGTTACCCGTGACCACGCTGTGGAACCAACTTCCAGCAGCAGTATTTTCAAACAGGTAAACCACATGGTTTACCCCTTGTGTTCTAAACACAATTTACAACAAAATACGTGGCCTTAAATTTTATATGATCTGCGTCCGTTTACCCATTCCGTCGATATTATTTATCGTAGTCGAATTCTATTAAAAGTTAGGTATATGATATATGTGAGATACCAAGATAAAACGTTTAAACATAGCTCAGGAATCTTATCTTAACCCTATTTATGGTGTTCGACACACATTCTTGGTCGTTTTTTTAAACAGATGATTAAGATGTTGATGTTTTGGTTTGCCTTGTCTACTGATAAAACCTCACCTGTGACACTCCCAGGTGATCCGCAACATTCTCACTGCAGTACACAATGTCGCCTTGTTGTGATAGCACGAAAACGAATCCATCCAGTGCCTTCATATAAGATAGTTCTGAAGACACGTCCTCCAAGCCTTTAGGTCTCTCCATTTTGGGCGCTTCCGTGTTTTCTGTTGACACTGTAAAAGTGACATTATCGTGATTAAAAGAAGTTCTGTAATATATACATACGACATGTAGAATATAAATTATATTATTTTAATAGATTCACTTTTTAACCGACTTTTATAAATGGAGGTTTATAAGTACGTCACGAAAAATTTTTCGTGACGTACTTTTGTGTTACGTGGTTATATTGTCAATTCAAAAATTATTTGAGTAATTCGTTTTGAATTCTAAACGATAGACTTTACTCCCGTGTTGGTTTCATATCAATTTTGTAATGACTAAGCTGCCGCTTTTCTCCGCGACATCTCTGCATAATTTACTCATAAACACATATTCTAAATTCAATATGTTTTCAATTTAATATGTCTATGAAACATTTCGTCATTCATCGATATATTTTGTCACCATGAAAGTGGCTGTTTTGTGCAATTCGTAAATGTTACAAGTTATATACGTTCGAATTGTAAGTTACGAGCGCAATTTCCACGAAGTACAAACATACATGCAAATTACATGTTCAAGATTGTAATTATTTAAGTTTATTAATTTAAGATCAGACAGGTACTGCATAATACGGGTCATAGTGATTTATAAATAATTCATCAATTCATAAATAGGTGCGAATAACATTTGTTTGACATGTGTAATTGATTCTTATGTAGTTATTTTAATTTCACTAATTGTCTATGAAAAGAAAACAGGATTAACAATGTAGGCAAATAAACATGATGTGGTGTAATATTATATACTATAACGCCGTATTATTATCCCACTACTGGACATGATTGTTTCCTCTTTAAAGATGGAGATTAGCCTACTATTGTCACGCTTGGTCAAGCGACTTCGTATAAAATAAAATTTAAATAATAAATTCTTACTCCGTGCCCATATGAAAAAGAAGATAATATGATCTGTTTTTTTTTTCGTTCATTTATGTTTTTATAATATTGTTATTACTCTATTAATATATTATTAAAGGCCGCCACTACCTCGTGGGTGTCGTAAAAGGCGACTAAGGGAGGACGAGGGATGGGCAGCAGCATCCCTTTTAAAACACCTCTAAAAGCCTAACTACGGTTGGCAACCCGCCTGCCAAGCGTGGCAACTACTGGCAAAACTTTCCTTATGGGAAAGGCTTGTCCAGCAGTGGACAGTTAACAACTGATATAACAATAATAAAAAAAATTAATAATCGGCTAGGTACTTTTTATTTCTTTACATTACAAACTCCAATAGAAAATGTACTCATACTTTATTACAATGTATAGATAAAGATACTTAAATTTTCTATTATTAAAGTAAGTACGTGAATGTCAGCTTATCGTAAATCTGACATATCACCAGATATTCGACGTTTGTGTAAGATGTTATTTCACTTCATACCTATATTTAATGATACATTGTAGACATGCAGACCTTCTTATTCCATTTGAAGTAAACATCCAAACAAACATATTTAGTTTACAATAAATCTCATTGTAATAAATTGATCATAATTCAAGATACTTTTAAGTTTAGGATATGAACTCAATTAGTAAGTAGAGTAATAAAAATTTTTTAGTTAATATCCATCTTAAAAAGATGGAAATTGACTAAAAAGTTTTAATATATGATGTTATAAGAAACCAATTAAAATTGAAATTTCCAGGACCAACGTAGAAATAACAAGCAATAAGAATATCCTTCTCTTATGGAGAAAAATGCCTAGCCATAGTGACGTTAATGTTGTGATAAAAAAATTATGAATGGAAAATGGTTTCGACTACGAAGGCATATTGTTCAGAATAGACTTTGTTAATTAAATTGTCATGTTTTAAGAAAGCAGATAGTCAGATGAGAGGTCTTCAAAATTCTCTCAAGTACATTAAAACGCTAAATAATTATTTCAAGAATATGTTATACATTTTAAAAGAGCCTAAACAGTGGCAATGTAAGTCCATGTAGTGATTCAATTAATTTCAATTGGACTGTGGCAGGACAGACGGGAGTGACGACATTGTGGTTTAGTTAGCATACGATATAAAAGCTGTGATCCAGCGCGTGCCAATGTTACAAACAAGTCGGAAAATTGTGGTCTTATACAACCACAGATGAATATGATGTGAAAAACAGATTAACTGGCCAGTGACAACAGGATAATATTTCAATAATTAAATTAATAACAATAATAGTTTATTTCTCTCACAATATTACAATATGACGAAGTGATTTGAATTAAAATAAAAACAGAAGCAGATGGATTGTGAAACTTGAAACCCGAAGTAGATTATAAATTCTGTAGCTCGAGCATAAAGTTCCATTTTATTTACGGACTCGCTTTTAACCCGTGACTTCGTCTGCGTGACCAGGATATGTTCACTAACCGGGATAAAAGTATATGTCCTTCTCCATCTTACATAGTATGCGTATACCAAACTTCATAGTATTTGGTTAAACCATTAAGACTTAACAAATAATCAAATTAATTGTGTAGTCCAAAAACTGAATATTTTCGGACATAACCCAGAACACAGAGACACGAACGGATCTAATATAAATTACAGATTTCATGAAATTCATAAAATCCTAAGTGCGTAAAGCAACGTGACCACCACTACGGAAGTAATACAAAAGATTATGCATGGTTTATCTTTGATTTGATAGATAAATACTCCCATGAAGAAACAGATATGGAGATATATAAGAATATTTAATGCCAGATAGAGTGATCGATAAGGCTATGGGTAATCATAATTTTCGAACTATTCAGCCGTTATTCATCAGACACTTTTTTATATCTCGCATCCTAATACCTATCTCCTACATTTAAAAACAACACAAGAGACACGGGAAGACGATGGATGAAGGTAGGAATTGAGAAATTATATGCATCACTTGTACCTCTACTTGTTTATGGTATAATTTATCGTGACAGCGATAGGCTCGCCCTTGCCACATTGAATTCTAATATGCACGGTGAAATATGGGCATGTTGAGTGTTATAAATACCTCTTTTTTATACATTTTTATGTTTCATTATATTTATATGTCACGGTCGACGAAATGGTCAATGTGGTATCATTAATTATTAAAAATGATAAATTGTTAGTTTCTCTTTTTTACGTATAGGTTACAATGCACCAAACAAGATGGAAGTGAGTCCATAGATAAGAAAAATGTAAATAAAACTAACTGATAAGCAAAAATGGCATCTAAATCTCATAAACAGTCTTTCCCGTGTAGTCCAGTGTACATAATAATCCATAACATAGATCATGAAGCGCAGACATATAGGATGCATGCAAATACACACGAATTACAAGAACACTGTGTTTAATACTATATATAATCCTCGTCAATTAATAATGAATTAAATTCAAACATAATCTGAGTCCTAAGCCATTTTATCGCTAAATTAATAAGTTGAGATAACCCGCCAAGTTTATCTTTTTGACGAATAACCTGCCACGAATAACTTTAGTTGTAACTAAAGCGCTCAGTGATGAAGGATCTTTATCTCATGCACCACTGATTTAAATAAGCGCCAGCCATTAGTCAGAGTCATTATTTTCACATTACCAAGTCTCTAAAAATTTGTTGTCACCACACGCGCATAGCTGCGGACAACAGCTAGTATTTAATATATTTTTCTGAAATTTTCCATTGAACCTAATTGTTCTAATATTTTAGTGACCTCAATAAACAGTATTGACAATAACATTTTATTGTTATGTAAGTAATGAACTTGTTTTGAATTGTAACTTTGTGATTTGAGTAGTTCGGTATCTATTTGTACTACATATAAATTAGGTAAATGTCTAAAACTCATTAGTTCATGGACAAAATTTTCTTTGTATAAGCCGTGTGCTTAAAGATGGAATGGCATACGCTTATACCATGATATACGCTAAGAGGGCACACCAATGAGTAGAAAGGCATGAGGATAAAATTAGGTAAGTTAGCACGTCGTAAGTAAAGAAAATGACCAGGATAGTTTTTAGAGGGGTTCATGTAGTCGAGAGTAAAAACAATGCAAAACGAGAAAAACAAAGGATGTTTTGCGTACAAAAATCTTCCAACAGTACAAGTCATAAAAGTGCAGTTAGACCAAGCGAGCGAATTGCTCATTTTTCCAATTTTTGTTTAGCGTAAATGTGCTAGATGCGTAGGTTTTCTGAGAACGATTATCAACAAATCGTTAGTAGTTGCGTAAGTACACATTATTTTTTAATTGTAACAACAACCGGATTTACTAGCATTCTTGATAAATATACATAATTATACATAACATTGAGTCATTCAATATTTTTATGTAAGTACTCAATATATATCTCATATGTTGATTAAATCTAGAGTACATTTTAAAAACGTACAAAATTAATGTCATTGTCTAAAATGCCATTACTATTTATTTCTCCCATGTGAATAATTTCCACTTTTATATTATTATGATCAAAAAGGAACAATAATTTGATACGAACAAAATTATAGCATAAAAAGATATAGAGGCAAGTACATATAGCGACAACTACTTATAACAGAAGTATAGTCTTGTTTCAATAAAACTTGAAAATGTAAAGAAATGAAAACCATAAGATAGTCTGCTGATGTCCCAACATAGAACACGCCACCTCTTCCTTTCCCGTGGGTGTCTAAAGAGGCGACTAAGGAGGGTAGTGTACGGGCAGCATCGTTTCTATTAAAACATCTCTAAAACCTAATTGAGGTTGGTAATCCGCCTGCCAAGCGCGGCAACTACTAGCAAAACACCCCAAGGGGGACACCTATGTTCAGTAGTGGACAATTAAAGGTTGATATGATGATGATACATAGCATGTAGATAAATTCAGTTTCTGTTACTATTAAAATACTCTAATATTTTTCTCATTCCTCTACTCCAATTTGCTTCAAGCAAAATTTGTATATTTTCTTGAGTTTCTTCTTTGACTACACCTATCTGATTCATGTTTGCAGCTTTTGTTGTGTGCTCTTTGTTTATTTATTCTACTTTCTTCAATAAAGCAATGATAGTTCAATCATACCACGTTTTACTGCATCCGGGGATACCAGCTAAATCTCTGAATTTAATATTTGGAATAATTTAAAAAGAATTGTTAATTGCTTTGTGAAGAGCACATACAACCATTGTCCGGTAAATCTATATGTATAAAGAAGGTAGTCTAAAAACTCTTGACAGCAGATGGCGACACTCTTACACGAGTAATAATTTTTCCCATAGATATGGGAACTTATGATCTATTTTAGGCGAATATATGTCTGATTAGTAATATTCATGTAAAGTACACTTACACATAGAGACAACGTCACGCACGCGTAGGTAAGATATAGCCAAGCGCATGACGGATGCTTTGTCAAGTTGCTCCACTTCCTCCTTTTTGGCCGGTAGCGCGGCAGTTAGTTCCGTGAAGATCTGCATCTCTTTAGTACGGCGACATCGAGCAGCCACTCGAGACTTCTCCTTTCTTTTCTCATTATTCCTGTGAAAAAAAAAAAAAATATATATATATATATATATAATAGAAAAAAACGGATGTTTGAGGTGTTAGAGGATAGATGTTTGTTACTCTCTAATGAAAAAAGTATTAAACGAAATTTGATATACGAATACATAATAACTATATACTAATTTAAATCATAGGATACATTATATAATATCTCCACGCGGGTGAAGCCGCAGATACAACTAGTAAATACAAAATTAATCCCCAATACGAAAAGTTTTTTGTGGCTTTAATACTTTTGTGGCATCGTAGCTCTCGAACGGATGGACCGGTTTCAATGCCTTTTTTTCTTTGAAGAATAGTTAATAGAATAAGGTGTTGAATAACTTCATACATAGAAATAATAAATTCTAATTGAGTCAATTGAAAGATCGATAAATAAAGGTTCTTTTATAAAATTTTATTTTAAATTATATACGCTATGTGAGATAAGGGGCACTCCAATCACTTCTCGAAAAATCCAAATAAGACAAACTGAAATAGGAATAACTTTTAAAATATAATGTCGTATTTAATGGTTTATACTAGTGTTTTTCAAAGTGTGGGTCACGACTCCTTGTCGCGAGCCCCTGTAGAGGATCGCAACTAAAACTACATCAGTAAAAAAAAAAACAAAATTATGAAGATAAATTTATTAAGAATAATGATAAAACATTTGAATGTTAATACAAATTAACAAAAAAAATAAAATAATAAGAATTATTTTATAATACAAAGGGGGTCGTATCATGAAAAAGGTTGAAAAACACTGATCTATGCTATAGGTCGTTTGAAAGCGATAATTTTTTTTTTTTTTTATAATTTAAACCAAAGATCGATACAAAAAAAGAATACGGATATCTGTGCGAAATATTACTAAAATATTCATTATGTTTAATTGTTCTAATATTATATATATTAATTATGTCGTTATATTATATATGATAATAAATAAAAAAATTATCGTAAACGTATTAACAATTATGCATCATATTGATTATATCAATATTTTATTTATACTAAAATTAGAATTTAATTGTCTCTTAATTTCTAATTGATTTTATATTACCATATTCGATAAAGAAGGCGAGTATATCCTATATTTCTAAAAATTTATCTTAATTGAATAAATTACAGTTTCGCCATTTTAAAATTTGATAGACACTATTATTCTAAAAATTTGAATAATAATTGTTATCAATTACATGAAAGTTACCCACCTATTTAAAAAAAAATACTCAAACGTGTCAGAATATGTAGATCACAGCACCAGTAAGGGAAGTACCTAAAAACATGGAGGTGTTTCAAAACACAAAGGATTTGTACAACGCATTTGTATCGTAAAAATTTAAGGAATCAAAGTTAACCTTAGCCGTATAGATGAAATTCTTTCCTTCCGATTTTCGAGATCAGAAGCCCCCAGTATACCCATTCTTGATCATTTAAATTCACTATTATTTATTATTCCAAATTAGTATATAGATTTTTCAAAAATGTTTTTACACAATACACTTGCGTCTTGTTCCATTCAGAACCACACACAAGACTTTTTAACTTATAATTACGGTTTTATACTATTAATTTATCATTAGGAACGACAAATGACAATTTTATCGCTCGTTCTAAATAATGCATTTAAAAAGTGCGTCACTAAACGCGTTTTCGACTAGATTTCTTTTGTCGTTTGTCTGGTTTGTAACTATGTCGTTTGTGTCTTTTCTGGCTCAGAAGCCAGCGGTATTCCAGGAAGATATTTCCGTAATAAGTCTAATTAAGTATATAATACTTTTAAAAATGCAAGGCGTACTTTAATTAGAATTTTCAAGAAATCATTAAAGTGGTATTAAAAAAATATGCTCACAACTATATCCCAGAGAGGGTAAGTTACCGGCATTTGATAAATTGTCAGCGCTGTGGTAAACACACACGAACATTAATATTTTTTAAATTTTTAATCTCTTTGCTGTATTCTAGCAATAACACGTGGCTTTATCCGAAAACCAGGATAAAAATATGTCAATGTTAATCCAGGACATCCAAATCTACCCATATATGCACTTAACACTCAGATGATGGAGTGAAAGACATTCCAACAAACTTTCACATTTATTATATTAGTACGATTGATATTTGATAGTATAAAATAAATTGAAGTAATCAGTGAGCCAAAGAGCCACAGAGAGATTTAATACGATAGAGTCAGATAAATAGATAGACAGTGTGTCTGTTTATTTATCTATAAAATATCGATCATATGATCATTATAGATAAATTTTAGGTTCTATAGAACTATTAGTGAGAAAAATGATGCAATATACACCGCAGTAAATTAAATTATGGTTGAACGCAATGAGGGCTGGCTCATCAGTCATACTCGTGAACGGGTGCTGCCTGTAGGAACTGGTCTGCTCTAGTCACTTCAATTGCTTTATTTTAATTATATACTGTATATTTAAAATTTTATGATCTGATATTTTTTAGTGGTTTATATTTATACAAATAAATTATTTATACAATTAATTTAAAAAAAAAAGCAACAGCTGAATTTCTTGCCCGTTTTTCTTGGCTGAAATTGCGTTCCGAATAAAATTAAAAATGATAAAAAATGTCTATTTAAAAAAGCTTAAATCTAAATTTACTTGTATAAAAATATAACTATCTTTTTTACTTTCAAATTATGTATTGGCATATTTAATTATATATTCTTCATCACGTTTTTCGAAACTATTGTAAATACTAAATTAGTAAAATTTATACTTAGCTAGATTTAAAAGATTATCTTGTTTGTTGATTATGTGTTATTTTTTTGTTTTATTTTTAAATGACCAATTAAAAAATTCTTGGTAATTTTTTAATTGGTCATTTCACACACATTTTTGCACATATAAAATACATGCCATCCACATAATATTCATATATAATAAGTTAATAACAGCTGCGTTATCCAATCAAAAAGGTCATATATATATTTTTATAAACATTATGCACTCGAGCAATTTTCGATTTATCAACTCATGTTGATTTCGAATTCTATTTATTATACAATAATCGATAAATGCACCAATGTAGTGAATATGAAATCTTTGCATAGTTAAGCCTTTAATGCATATCAGATTGACGACATGATGAACGATAAAGATGCAATAATAATAGCTCCAGCCAATAATGATACCGAAGCAATATATTGAATGGCCACACCATTACTTGTGTCGGTCTATTGACGCATCTTGAGGTCCAAAACGTGACGCCACTGTTAATTATGTTGGAAAACATTTGAGCATATCATGACTATAAAATGCTCAGTGTATGTATATACAGACAGTGAAAATAGGACATATTTTAAAAAGAGAAAACGTAAGGAGATATTCATATATGCAATTTAAGATTTTGTTAAAAAAAATAACAAATAGATTGCTGCTACTTAAATTGTTTATAAATTTACATAAAAGTTAATACTGTCTAAAGTAAAAAAATATATAATCAATTTAGAATCGGGCAAGACATATTTTTTTAATACAAGGAAATTTAAAATCTTATTTAAATAATACAAAAAAAAAAAGCAAGCTGGAATACTCTTACTGATTAAAATAATAATACTAACCCAAAGTTACTGTAGCTAGAAGTCAGATATTTTGTTTTTGATCATTACATTATCGTATATGTTAACTATAGAAGGACCTTTCGAAATTACATGAGAACGAAAGGTAATAATTTGCACGTTAACAAAGGCACAGGAATCATAAAGAATAATAAAGCAAAATACTACTAGTAACCATAATCACAAAATCCTTTGAATGTCTACACAACTGGAAGTCATAAACAACAGACATTTAGCGTAGAAGTTCCGAATATGATACTAAAGAACGTTAATATATAAGTGTATAATACAGTAATATAAACGCAAGGGCTGATTCAAACATAATAATATACGAATATTCGTACAAACAGAAAATCTTAGACAAAACTGGTTTAGTTTTCCTTATACTCTCAAAATACGCAGTCCGAAAAAATCATATTTATAAACACGTCATTTCTGGAATTCTCATTTAAATACGAGCAGTCAAGGTAACATCACGAATATTACAAGAATTTGAGAATTTAATTCCCGTAATTGTGATAGGATTTATAAAAACGGGATTCTAAATATAAAAAAATATATAATAAAAGTAAAACTATTAATCTATTTATTAAGTACCATGTTTGTCATGGTATTCACGGTTTAACCAAGGAACCAATTTGGATGAAAATTGGTGGAGACAGGCATAAAATACCTAGTTAATGATTTTCATAAATTTATAGTAAATTTCATATATAATATACCACTTTATATTTTTAAACTCCGTCTGAGGTCAATATCTATCGGTTACACGGCTGAAATTGCGAGCCCAGCTAGTATTAATAAATCAATCCTAGCAGTAATAAAACATTTATAGTATAATGTTAACAAACTTAAGAAGATAATTAGTAAACGAATCAAAGTAAGTCAATGTCCACATTAACAAGTATAGAACGCGATGCGATAAACTAGTTTGGGTTAAGTGATAAGGACGGATATATAAAAAGAACGCAACGCATTGAGGAAAACTGGCGAAACACTGGATATAATGGGTGCGTTCAAGCGAATCGACAGGGAACGCTGTAATTTCATTCATCAATACACGAAATTATGCGTGTTTTCACAATATCGTGTATCATATGAATCAATCAAAATATTTTTAAAAGTGTTATCTTAACTGAATGAAATAAAATTGCTATCCACGTCTCTCTGTTTCTCCTCTTACTTCTTCTAAATCACGCAACGGATTTTGATACGAACTTCGCTCCCATTTAGATATATTTTTATGGAAGATTTATATCTACATCGCAATTAAACTTGTTTGTGAATAGATAAATTCGATAGTTTGAAATCAGGTTAAAGAATCAATATTCGTCTAATCTAAATCTTTTCTAATCCAATGCATTGTCCACTATAAAACGTAAGCACCTGCATTCTTTAG